GCCTATCAAAACAAAGTACAATACCGAAATTGGGAGCTGGAAGAAGCTCTAAGAATTCCCATTCAACAACCGGTACGGATACTCCAAAATCTGGCACCAACGTAAGCAGCAAGATGTGTGAAGCTGCACCCGTTTCATCTCCTGGAGTGACACCATCTACTGAGTTGGAGCCAGAGAAAGTCTGGCACTACAAGGATCCATCTGGAAATGTTCAGGGCCCATTTACTCTTTTGCAGCTATCTAAATGGACAGCTTACTTCCCACGTGATCTGAGAGTATGGCTCATTTTTGAGAGTGAAGAAAGATCGTTGTTGCTGACAGAAGTGCTTTCAAAACAACCAAAAGATTTCGGCCAGGTTCCATCAGTTAGAAGTAGTAAAACAAAATTGGCAGGATCTGGACAGCACAGAAACGGCTCAAATGTGGATTTGAACAGCACTCCATCCCCAGCTGGTTATAGTAGGTTTAATTCTTCTGAAACGACAGTTCAGTCTGCTAAGTATTCTGTTCCAGAAAGGGCGAGTCCGCTGCACCCTTCAGATGAATTACAACATGGTGGAGTACAGGGAAGACGCTCTGCTGAATGTAACAACGGCCACAACCGGGGTGATCGGTGGAGTCCAAGCACGACGCAGACAAGTTGTAGTGGGCAGAACAATGTAGAATCTCATCGTAATCAGCATGCCTCACGGTCACAGGCTCAGCATAAAAGTAGTTTGCAAGCAGGTTGTGCAAAGGATTTGGATTCGAGGCAGGATTATTCGCACACTATACCTACTCAACTAACCAGGAGAGATGTCCCGAGTCCTGCACTTGCTTTGAGTCCATCCGAGTCCAGAACCGCTTCAAGTCAACACGAAAGCTCTTGCTTGAGTTCAACCAATCCGGGACTGCATGATGAACTTCATTCTTCTATTACCTCTGAAAAGACCAAGACCTGTGCTCCTGCAACTTCTGTTGAAGACAGAGGATCTAGTTCACCGTCTGCCATGCTGGCCCACTCAGAGAGAGTTCCAGTCTGCAGTCAGCAGTCAGTTCCTTCCGCAGCCGTTCCTGAAATATGCAAGGTGGGGGAGGAGATCAAGAATGAGGAAAAAACACGTGAAGCTGATGCATCAAATGTTTCAGTTAATCAGTCTCCTCAGTCCAAGATGTTCCCTGATTCTTCTCCTGACAACCAAGATATTGAACGTGAATCTGAGAGTAAGAAGGCTGATGCGGCCCACCCCGAAAGAGTTCCAGTCTGCAGTCCACAGTCAGTTCCTGCCGCAGCGATTCCTGAAATATGCAAGGCGGGGGAGACCAAGAATGAGGAGAAAACACGTGAAGCTGACGCATCAAATGTTTCAGTCAGTCAGTCTCCTCAGTCCAAGATGTTCCCTGATTCTTCTCCTGATAACCAAGATATTGAGCATGAACGCTCTGATCCAGCGCAGAAATCTGAGAGTAAGAAGGTTGATGTGGCCCAGTCAGGGTCAGAATCAGCAAGACCTGAAACTTTGGATACTAAGATACCTGACCACTCTCCAGTTTCTTTTGTTTCGCCGAAAATTGATCTTCCAACTGGGGAAACAGGTGCCACAGATTCAGTACCTAACCTGGAGAAAACAGAGGGAAGTGGTGAAGATTTAAATACTCAAAAGGAGTGTTACAGTGAGGCTAGTCTTGCCATAAGGGAGAAAGTGGTAGCTGATCCTGCTTCTTGTGCTAAGTCAGTAGACGCGTCTGATGTTCCGGAATCAGCATGTGATGTTCCAACTGGGGAAGTAGGAGGCGTTGATAACGTGGAGAAAACAGTTTTGTGTGGTGACGATTCAAATACTCGAAAAGAATGCTACAGCAAGAAGGCTACTCTTGTCACAATGGAGAAATCGGTAGCTGATCCTGCTTGTGCAGAGTCGATCAACACGCCTGATGTTCCGGAATCAGTATCTAATCTGGAGAAGAGAGATTCCAAGGGTCAAGATTCAGATATTCAAAAAGAGCTGTACAATGAGTCTATTATTGTCACGAGTGAGAAACTGTTAGCTGATCCTGCTTCTTGTGCCGAGTCTGCTGTTCCGGAAAGAGACTTAATGGGTGCTGATTCAAATGTCCAAAAAGAACTGCATAGCAAGTCTACTCTTGTCACAAGTGAGAAAGTGGTGGTTGAACCTGCCTCTTGCGCTGAGAAAGTAGGCGTCCCTAATGTTTTGGGCTCAGTATCTAACCTGGAGAGAAGAGATCTAAACGATGAAGATTCAGTTATTCAAAAAGAGCTCTTCAGCGAGTCTACGCTTGTCACAGGTGATAAAATGGTGGGTAAACCTGTCTCTCGTGCCGAGTCAGTAGATGTGTCCAATGTTTTGGAATCAGTACCTAACCTGGAGGGAAGAGATCTAAACGTTGAAGATTCAATTGTTCAAAAAGAACCGTTCATGGAGTCTACTCTGGCCACAAGTGATAAATTGGTGGTTGATCCTGCGTCTTGTGCTGATGTCTCTGATGTCTTGGAATCAGTATTTAACCTCGAGCAAACAGGTTTGAATGGTGAGCATTCAAATATTCAGAAGGAACTGTACGAGGAGTCTACTCTGGTCACAAGGGATAACATGGCAACTAATCCTGCCTCCTGCGCCGAGTCAGTGCATGTGTCTGATGTCCTCGAACCAGCATTCGACTTGGAGAAGACATATTTTGGAGGTGAAGGTTCAGATATTCAGAAAGAATTGCATGAAGGGTCTACTCTTGTCACGAGAGAGTACATGGCGGTTGATCCCGCCCCTTGTGCCGAGCCGACAGACGTGTCTTTAACAGAACAAAATCGTGGAGCTTTGTGCATGGATTCACTAGCAGCAATAGAGCAATTCATGACCGCCTCGCCGGAGGAAGAACCACAATGCTCTAGCCCCATTGCGTTATCCCCATGGGGTGAATCTGGTTACTATCAAGGTGATGCTGTTGATTCTGGACTATGGGGTGTCCAAGATGACACAATCAATGAAATGTGGTCATTGCTGTCACCGACACCTACTCCCCAAAATTTATCTGGTTAGTCAGTTTGTCGATGTTTAGCACGCGTCCATCAATTCTATAGTGTTTAATTTAACCATCCATTTTCTCTCCTTTGCAGGGGTTAAATCCGAGGTGGAAGGTGGTGCCCATGTTGTCAATGCGGCAACTGTTGCCCAAGGAGAGTATGATTTTTTTCAAAGAGATCCAACACCAGGGGTGCATTGGGGACTGACTGAGCAGGTACTCCCTCTGATCCATATTACTTGTCATCTTCACACGTTTTAGTATTGGATACATCCGCATCTAGACAAATCTAAGACAAATATGGATTGGAGGGAGTATGTTATATTGCAACATCTGACCAGCATTTTGCTTCCTACACGATATTCCGTATGACATTAAGTTTTCCATGCTACTTCAGGTGAAACCAAAAGCAACTGCTGCATCAGTATCACCGATAGATGTGAATGTGAGCACAGGAGCATTTGGCTGGCAACCATCAGCCAGCGAGAGATCAAATGCTGCATCAGTATCATCGATAGATGTGAATGCGAGCACAGGAGTATTTGACTGGCAACCATCAGCCGGTGAGAGATCGAACGCGGGAGCCGCATGGAGCACAGGCTACAACCCAAACATGTACTCTAGCTATGGAGCAGCAGCAGCAGCACCCTCTGTGAGAACCTCTCAGCAAGCACCGGTGAAGCAGGAATACACCGAGTTGGACGCTGCTAATTTCGGAGGGGCCCTGAGGAATTTCGGAGCGTCCTTTGGGAACAACACCAAGAGCTGGAACGCGCCCGCCGGCAATGCATCCAACCGAGGCAGCCAGCGCCGCGACAGGTACTCTGAGATAAGCGAGTCTTGGCTCCTTAGCTCGAATAACAACAACAACTATAGGAGTAGGGCAGATGGGTTTAGCGGTGGCGGCACATCACGGACGCCCCCGAGGGGGCAACAGTAGAGAGAGGGCGGTATGTAAATTCCACGAGAGCAGCGGGTAGGCACCCTACCTGCACACGCCACGTCGTTTCTACAAGAGTAGCGAAATGGAAGTTTTTGAGATTCTTTTGGGTCATATGTTTCCGCTTTTGTATAGACTAATCAATCAATCAGTGAATCACGATGGTAGTCGACGTTAGGAGGGCGCGCACACACGATCGATCTTCGTTCAACTGTAGTGGTAAGGAGTACCGAGTATATATATGTATGTCTAGCTTAGGAGAATGACTTTTGAGTGTTTCCCCAAGTAGATTTCTCTATTGTGGGGGCATGGCAATATTCCACTGGAGCTGCATGTGTACCGAAAACTATTTCTTCTTTCATCTTGGCCTCGATTCGCCTGATGTACCCAAAGTGAAGTAAACTGTGATGTCCGAGTGAATTGTCTTGGTTATCTGATGCCCTTGGTGTTGCCAGAATGGTTCTAGTGTTGTAATCTAGGACAGGAGACTATTTTTCGACGAACCGATGGCTAGTGAATACATATGTGATAACCGCGACATACCTGATGTGTTGCGCGCAAGAACATTTTGTGTAGTAAGATGACTCGTTTGAGAGGCTTTCATTGCACAAGTTAGGCAGGTGGCGATGACCAAGATTGTACTGCTATTCAAGGAGTTGGTTGGTTGGTTGTTGTCAATGTCATGGAAGATTCTTACGGCACCTGCATACTGATTTCGTTTTTGTCGCCGCCGCGCATAGTAATGCGGGTGACGCGTTGCTGTTGTTATAGATAGATGTTGTATTTGCGGTTGGAGAGTTGATAGTTCGATAACGGTATGTCATACTAGGCCTACCCTCCTAGCTACTAGATCTAGATGAAACCAACCTATCTGATGTAATGCAAGAGGCAATCACGGCGCACTTGTAGTCTGTCGACTGAGCGCTTGCATACAGCAAAAGGCTCGCCGCGTTATGTTCTATATGTACAGAATGTCGACACTTCATTTTCGTCGAACTCTCGAGTGAAATTTGTGTCCTTTTCTAGGCAACTGTTACGCCCGTTACTTGCTAACTGCCGTTGGTAGGGGGACGAAGACAGGATAGTATGTGTTTAGTTCAAGGTGCTTCAGGATCAGCTGCGCGGCCGACAGGTACGAAGAGTGGCCATCGACGAGCTCGGTGACATCAACCTGTAAAAAATTGTAGAACAGTTATGTAACAAGGCTGACAGATTAAAATTCGAGTAGAGGCGGTCACAAATTTGTAGAGAAGTCATGTAACAAGGCTACCAAAATAAAACCCGAGTCGAGGCGATCAGCATGCTTACGTTTTCGACGCCAGGGACATCGACGGCCTGTATCCCAGCCAATCCTTGCGTGAGTAGACTGCATATGAGATATGAGTGAATCCGTAAGTCGAAGAAAAGACGGTGACCCTAAACTGTTGTTCTGTCACCAACCATCGAATTTTAAAACATCATCTCAGCTGGAGAGCGCCAACTATAAGCGGAACCCTTCTTTACCTTGCGCGGAAGGTTACACCAAGAATCCAGTCATCTTTGGAGTACACGTTCACAAACCTTCCAGCAACCATCTGCAGCAATGTCGTGTAAAATTGTGGCAAGTTTTCACATGCTCGAGTATGACACACATGCAAACTGCACATCATAATGTTTCTGCTCACAAAAAAAATGGTACCTTCCTAGCAGGCTCCCACCGTTCGCCCTTCACCGAAACCGGCGCGCCTAGGAGCACAACCCTCTCGACAAGCCCCTCTGCTTCCATCAAAATAAGTGAGCGAAACTGCGACGAACTTGTATAGATGGGGAAGAGATAACTACACAGAAGGTACCGTTGTCGCTTGATAAAGCAAGCTCCTGCAAGCACTTGAATATGACACGCGCGCCTAGTGAAAACCCAATGAGGGTCACAGGCCTGGGAGGATTTCGGTGTCAGGTGGGAAAAATAATATGAGAGACTAACTGCGCTGAATACAGTGAGTTGCAGGTGGAACTGTACCTGTTCCCTTGTGATCCCTTCATAAGTACTTCAGCAAGCATTTTCCCTGCCTTATCTGATCTGAAAGGTTACAAATAGATTAGTTAAGTCAACATATTGCTATGAGTAATGAATAAAAAGGCGGGAATCTATGTTGAGTGTGTATAATAGCATGTTATGACATATAATAGCGTGTTAGTGTTCCTGGATTTAAGTGCGCAAATCAGCTAAGAAAATGAAGAGATTTTGCAGGTTTGGTACCTGTCAATAGCAACAGACCATTTACTATCAATGAAATCCGTAGCTGCAAGCAGAGTAGCGGGCCACGCAAACGCTGCAAGAAAACCACTTAAGACTGTTCTCATCGCACCTTGCTTCATCAGTTCCAGAGCAAGTCCTGCATCAATAGCAATGCAGGTTAATTAAAGGTGTTTACTACTCCCTCCGTCCGAAAATACCTATCATCAAAATGAATAAAAAGAGATGTATTTAGAATTAAAATACGTCTAGATACATCGCCTTTTGTTCTTTTTGATGACAAGTATTTCCGGACGGAGGGAGTATAACACAAGCTAGATGTACAAATCGACAAACATTACTTGATGTCAGCCAATCTTGTATTGCTGTACTCACAGCAATTATATGCTTAGACTCCCACTGAAGAATGTACCTGCCAGTCATTAGTCCGCAGTGCAGCGGTATAAGAATGTTGTACTGCTATAGCATTAGCTTTAAACACGTGGATCAAGTGCAGAAATAATGATCTGAAAAAAGAGCAAGCCAAAAATTATTCTAGACCTTTCTAGGTTATCCTTCCATCCTTCCCAAGGTCTAATGTAGTCTTCCTCATCAAAGGCAAATCCAGAAACCAAGATGCCTACCGCAAGACGCTGAAAGGGTGAATGACATTGAGGCTAAATCAGTTCAGTTATTATATGGATGAATGACATTCCAGTGAACATGGAATTTGGTGAGGCATCAGAGAGAGATGAGGAACTCACACCCTGATTATGGTTCTCACCAATCGGTTTGAACTCAAATTCTTTTACACTCCCAATCCTTCTTGCCATTTTGGTGCCCGTCAAGCCAGCTCCAGCAGCTAATTTACAAAGATCATTCCAAGGATATAAGTAACCAAGTAGAATATTTCTGCACTACTACATGATTATTCTTGTTGATCCATTCCATCTCTCTTTTGGCAATCCATCTAATCATATTAATTTTAAAATGTGCCAATACAAATGAGATGTGCATTATAGCTCCCATGAACAAGAAGTGAAACGTCATTGTATTGGATGACAACAGTACAGGACGAAAAACAAAAGCTCAAAATGACATCACCACAGGGTTTAGAAAGGACATTTATACCTACCCCCAAATGATGCAGCCACTGCCACAGAGCCAGCAACAGATCCCGCAGCAGTAGCCATAGCAGCAAATCCACTGGCTCCGATAACAGGCATAATTGTGCCCAGCGTCGGAGCAAGAGCACCAAATCCTGCAGCGATTGCTGGAGCAGCTAAACCTGTCATGTAGAAAGAAGAAGAGAATATGAACCACCCAATATTTTTTAGCATCTTAACAGAATTTCCGAAAAAGATCTGCTACCCCCAGTAATAGCCAGTAATGCTCCTCCGGTCAATGCAGCTGCACCAATGATTCCTCCACGCTTCCATTTCGCCCATTTGCTTTTGGGCGACGCGTTTTCCCCTGACTGTTCCTGCTCTTTTGCTGCTGCCATAGCAGAGCATGCGACCATAACCTCGATGGCTTCCTACAGCAGCAGAACGGGTGATCACAAATTATGTAACACAGCCTGAATACACGATTCATATGTTTCGGGTTCCTTTTTGTTTGATGATTACAGAATGCAGTTTGGTAAAATCCTATCCATAATTATCACTGCTGAAGTGAAGAAGAATTGTATTGTACAAACCATTTTGACCCACTTCACATCAAGCCAAGTTGCTAGTAACCGAAGAGCGACCCGATGCCGAGCGTCGTAGCCCTTCCTGAAGTGAGAGGACTTCCTGTCGTCTTCCTCTTGCGACACGGGCTTGTCTGCCACGCAGGCAGAGAGGAGCGTAAACAGCAGCGTCATCTTCCGGTGATGGGTGGCAGGAACATCGTCCAGGGACAACTTATCGATTCCCAGCAAGTCCTCGGCGGCGAAGCCTTTCTCTGAGGACCCGGCCATGCCGGAGCTAGTGGAAGGCCCCTGATCACCCTCTTTGGTTGTTTCATCAATTGCAGTGTCGCTGCTCAAGCTCATCACCATCACATCGACTCCTTTTGCCAAGGCGTGTTCCTGGTCGGATTTCTCCGATGTGCTCTCGGGGTCTTCTTCGAAGATCATCCTCAGGAACTACAAAATGGAAGTGGAATCAGACGCAGCGAAGCACAATTTAGAACAAAACGATAACAGCTATGTACTATATTCAGTGGTTAGTCCTAATTCAACAGTGGAATCCCCAAATGTGCTCTGCAGCTCACTGTCTGAAACGAAATGTAAATCCAACCACGGCGACAGGGGACAGAGAGTGTGATGAAGGGTGGTACCGCGCCGATGTGGTGCTTGGCCTCCGGCGAGGCCGCCGTCTCCTCCAGCCCCGGCCACGCCGCCGGGTCGATCTCCAGGAACCTGAGAGGACGGCGATCCCCAACCCAAAGTGGTAAGTGAAACTGAAGAAATTGGTAACCGCTGAGTGAAATGTGGGGGGCGGAGCGGACCTGAAGACGGGGCGGAGGAGGCCGCGGGAGTCGTGCGTCCAGAGCCCCTTGGCGGCGGCTTCGGCGTCCTCCCCGCTGCCGCCGGCGGAGCTGCTGCTGCCGGTGCCGCTGCCGCCGCTGGCGCTGCTGGCGCGCTCCTCGTCGTCCGCGGCGGAGGTAGGGGGGGAGCCGAGGAGGACGGACTGGTGGATCTGCGCCTGGCGGAGCGCGAGCGCCAGCAGCGCCCCCGCCGCGTAGCGCTGCGTCGGCGTCAGCAGCGCCGCCGCCATGGCTGGTGGTACGGGGTCCGGGCTGTGCGGCGCGGGCGGCAGTCGGCAGCTGGGGTTTGCTTCGAGGGAGGGAGGCGACGTGGACCTGTTCTGGTTGGGCCGGACGCGTGGCCGGCCGGCCGGCGCCGGTGGTTTTTATACGCTGTGCCGGTCAAAACTTTGGGCTTGCTGACTTCTTCTTCTTCTTCTTCTACTACTACGAGTTCACATGAAATCTATTTTGAAACATGTTGATTCCGGCAAATTTGAGGGGAACAAACCGTGATCTAACATGTATTTTTTCCGATCTGCCAATCCCCATTTGTCTGAAAGCAAATTTGGGTCAGTCGATTCCGGAGAGGAGAGTAGAGTAGGACCGACACTCAGCGCCGGCCGCGACATCATAGGTGGAGACGAGACAGAGGTGACGGTACTGAGAACCGTCAATAGCCCCGGTAGGGTAGAGGGTGGAACGTGTGTTCGGAAGTTCCAGAAGGAGTCACACACGGGAGGTTTACCTAGGGTCGGCCCCTCATGATTGAAAAAACACTTCAAGCGAGGGGTTACAATATTTGTGGGTATGAACTACCAAGACGATGACTAGCTGTCAGATGATCTTGATCTACCTGCTAGCCTTACTTTATAAAGAGGGATGAGGCATAGGGTTACACGTCCTGCAAAGTGGCTTGGAGTCTCAACCTACAGAGAGCCTTCGAGCCTTTCAAGTTCAAAGTTTCGGAAATGCAAAACTCCGAATGCTCATTTTATTTTTTGAAACTTAGGCTAAGCATCATATAGGTACAAAGAAAGCATAAGGTGAACTAATCGATTGAAATCACTATTAGATTGAAAACCAACAAGATTAATAAATGTATTAAAAAACGATGCAACTAATGCATTTTTGTTCTTCAATTTTGAATCCTGAAGACTTGAACAACTAAATACTTGTACAAACATTATTTATTTGCCCAATATGACAATACCAGTTTATTACTTCAGTTTTTATGGATGTTACAACCATTTTTTCTCCTGACCATACCCATCCCGTGCCAAGAAAGGAGGCAGCCACGAGATAGGCAGAAAGCTTGGACACCTACGAACAACAGGAGGAGAACCATCATGGCGCAAGCAACCATGTCCCTAGAGCCAAGAAGGTGCGCTTTGACGAACGCCCTCACCCTCACCTTCCAGCAGGCCCCATGGTACCGATTAAGCTCATCGATCACTCTGTCCAGAGCCGGCACCCTCGTCAGCCTCACCGACCAGGTCATCCCATTCCACAGCTCGGCCACTTCCTGGTCACTCTTGAGGTGGTTCAATATGATCCCGTGTTCCCTCAACAGCCGGGCGTCCTCGTCGGTGTCGATGATCCCGTTCATGAGTTCGACGTACCGGGCGAAGACCAGCGCCCTGGACCCGATCGATGCCTCGTAGGCCACCAGGTTCCGTAGGACAACTTCGGTGGTCATGTCGATGCTGATCACCGGGAGGTGCAATGTTGCGGTTCTCGCGCAGAATTCGATCGTGGAGATGCTGCCTGCTGTTGGGGTGAATGTGACACCGACATATGCGAGTTGGGTGATAGAAGGCACTGCGATCTCCTCAAGCAGAGGTGATATGTTTTTGTTGTTATGAACATCGGATGCACCATTGGGTTCCGGGGCGCCTCGTTGGGTAGCTAGCTGCTCGATGGGTTGCCTGACCATTGACAGGCATGGAAGAGTGGCCAGGAACTTTAGAAACATCCTCACCATGAAATCTGTCACCAACGACGCCAACTTCAAGCCACGCTTCACGAGCAATTCTATTATTGAACTCAGTGTCGATCTCTGCGGGTGGTCACTCAACCCATCTTCAAATTCTTCCACGTCACCATCTGACTCTTCAACACAACCACATGGTAACATATTAGAGTAGAGGAAATCTAGCAAGTGGGCGTGCCGTGTGGCGTCGGTGCATGGAGAGCTTATCCCCTTGAGCAAGCAAACCTCGTGAAAGAACCCGGACAAAACGGAGCTCAGATTAGGCCGTTGCACGCCATGGTCTGACAAGCACCACAACTCGACTACTTTGACAAGAAGAAACATTGGAATCTGGTTCTCCAACATCACGACGTCACGTAGCAGCATGCCGTGTACAGATGTCCTATGAGATGGGTCAACCAGATGCGACATCCTCGAGGGCATCCTTTGCAGTGTCCTCTGGTTTTTCACTATTAGATTGAAAACCAAAAAGGTTAATAAATGCATTAAGAAATATGCAACAAATGTATTTATGTTTCTGCAATCTTGAATGCTGAAGACCTGAACAACCAAACACTTGTATTCTTGGAAACATTATTTATTTACCCAATATGACAAGACCAGTTTATTACTTCAGTTTTTGAGGATGTTACAACCATTTTTTCTCTTGACCATACCCATTCCGTGCCAAGAAAGGAGGCAGCCACGAGATAGACAGAAAGCTTGGACGCCGACGAACAACAAGAGGAGAACCATCATGGCGCAAGCAACCAGGTCCCTGGAGCCAAGAAGGCGCGCCTTCACGAATGTCCTGACCCTCACCTTCCAACATGCCCCATGGTACCGGTTAAGCTCATCGATTACTTTGTCCAGAGTCGGCACCCTTGTCAGCCTCACCGACCGGGTCATCCCGTTCCACAGCTCGGCCACTTCCTGGTCACTCTTGAGGTGATTCAATATGATCCCGTGTTCCCTCAACAGACGAGCGTCCATGTCTGTGTCGATGATCCCGTTCATGAGCTCGACATACCTTGCGAAGACCAACGCCCTGGACCCGATCGATGCCTCGTAGGCCACCAGGTTTCGCAGAACGACTTCGGTTGTCATGTCGATACTGGTCACCGGGAGGTGAAGTGTTGCGGTTCTTGCGCAGAATTCAATCGTGGAGATGCCACCGACTGTTGGGGTGAATGTGACACCGACATATGCGAGCTCGGTTATAGAAGGCACTGCGATCTCCTCAAGCAAAGGTGATATGTTTTTGTTTTGGACATCGGATGCACCATTGGGTTTAGGGTCGCTTAGTTGAGAAGTTAGCTGCTCGATGGGTTGCCTGACCATTGACAGACATGGAAGGGTGGCTAGGAACTTTAGAAACATCCTCACCATGAAATCTGTCACCAACGACGCCAACTTCAAGCCACGCTTCACGAGCAATTCTGTTATTGAACTCATAGTTGATCTCTGCTTGTGTTCATTCAACCCATCTTCATATTCTTTCATGTCACCATCTGACTCTTCCACACAACCACACGGTAACATGTTAGAGTAGAGGAAATCTAGCAAGTGGGCGTGTCGTGTGGCGTCGATGCATGGAGAGGTTATCCCCTTGAGCAAGCAAACCTCTTGAAAGAACCCGGACAGCATGGAGCTCAGATTAGGTCGTTGAATGCTATGGCCTGACAAGCACCACATCTCGACTACTTTGACAAGAAGAAACATTGGAATCTGGTTCTCCAACATCACAATGTCACGCAGCAGCATGCTGTGCACAGATGTCCTATGAGATGGGTCAACTAGATGCGACATCCTCGAGGGCATCCTTTGTAGTGTTCTATGGTTGTTGGACTTGCAGAAAGTCTGCAGGAACTCGAGAAGAAACGACACGTCGATCGCCATCATCCATGCCAGTGTCTCATCGGTGAGGTTGAGTTGCCTGCAAGAAATAAACATAAGATAATTAGTAACGATCAAGATTTCCTTGGGTTATGCAATTAAGACAGATTGATTATTTTGCACTTGAACCTGTGATAGTGAGAACGAATCCGGTGCTCGAATGTGGCGAAGACGTCCACAAGTTGCTGGAACTTCATACTTGGCAGGTGGCTTTGGGCTCTCTTGGCCGCCGAGAGCTTGTACATCTCCATGTCACGGAGTCCTTGGCGGCAATGGTGGTAAGGGCCTAGGGCCACCAGCTGAGGCACGTACGCTTCAGGCTTAGTGCACAACAGGGGCTTGAGGACATCAAATATGGAGACGGGCTGGTCATCGCCTAGCTCGATCTCCTCTTCAAGGATTCGGCGAATCCGGATGATCCATTGTGTTTCATCAAATGGGAGGTCTGAGCATGTGACCATTTGGCCTGTCATGTGGGTTTCACATGTCATTTTATTTGAGAGCATGCATGCCGCCATTTATGAGAGGGAGGGAGAGAGTAAGAAGTGATGTAAAATGGCCGTTGGTTAGATTGAAAACGTACCACTACCGCTTGCGAAACAAAGCGTTAACATAGTACTTATGAAACTTATATTTATTAGCATTAACATATATAGTAACCAAAAGCATTTTGCAAGCAAAAGAAACGGTATAGAAACTTTCGTATATAGACAGTTACTAATCCCCCACAAAGAGTAGACTGGAGAAACCTATAAAAGGAAATAGAATTACCGCTTGCGTTTTCTATAAATTTAAGGGGGAGTAATTTAAGGGACATGAAGAAGGTAGAAACGGATGCAATTTCCATTACTCGCTGTTATTGCAGGTGGCGCTGTTGCCTGTTGGCCACTATAATCCTACGGTGCCCATCATCTTCGGTTAGCTAGGTGTCGTTTATCTTCAGCCTCGTTAGAGAATAAGTATCCATGCATTGTGAGCCTGTTCACATGCATGTCCGTAGTTTTTTGCTTTCTGCATGCACTCGTAGCTACTACTCCCTCCGTTCCTAAATATTTGTTTTTTTACACATTTTAAATGGACTACCACATATGGATGTATGTAGACTTATTTTAGAGTGTAGATTCACTCATTCTGCTTTGTATGTAGTCACTTGTTGAAATATCTAGAAAGACAAATATTTAGAAACAGAGGGAGTAGTTCGCCGCAGTGCAGCTGGTTCTCGTGTGTTGAGTATATTGATTATTAGGAAAGACTAGATAGACTAGGATTAGTTCTGACTTGTCTTGTACTCTAAGTTGATCATTGTACTCCTATATATATATATATATATATATGCCCACGAGGCTCAAACAATACATCCACTATTCCATCAACCTCTCTCTCCCTTCTAACATGGTATCTATTGCAAGTCGATCCTAAACCCTAGCCGCCGCCGCTTCCGCACCTGCGCGTCTCCCCTGGGGCGGTGGGACTCCATGACCGCCGTCGGGGGCCGCGCCGCCCGTACCTAGGGTTCGTCCGCCGGCCGTGTTGGCCGGCTGCCCTAGAGAGTCTTTTTCCCGATCCTTTGATCCGGGTTTTTCTCTCTCTCGCCGGTCGCTTTGATCGGCGTCTACTTTTTGGTTTTCCGATTCACTGGATCGGTTTGCGTCGCCCACCTCGCGCCTCTACTCCGACATCGGCGCGACCGGCCGGCTACTTCACTGACCCGGCGGCCTCGCGCGACACGCAACCCTCAAGGCCGTCGTCCGCGCGCCGGCCCGCCCGTCGCCCTGCGCCGGCCGTCACCGTCCTGCTCCGACCGGGACTCCTGCATCACCCGACCCGACGGCCTCGCGCCATGCGGCGGCCAATCGTAGCCGCCTTTTCACCCGCTGTCGCCGGCCTCATCCAGGACTCCGCCGCCACCACGCATCCATCGAGCGGCGTCCCCGTCCTCGCGCGCGATCGGATTGATCACCCGCCCGCCGCCGCGATCCGCCTCATCTACGCCGCGCGACCGACCTGGCCCGTCGGTTACACGCGCCTCCGCAGGTCCCGTGAAGATCATCCCCGAGTTCAACGCGCCTCTCCACCGATCGAGAATCGGGCTGCCGTTGCGTTGCCCAGTCGGGCCGCAGAGCCGCCGCCCCATGGTTCTCCTCCCGGCTGCACCGACCCGCATCACTGTTGCGTCGCCCCTTCGGGCCGTAGTGCCGCAGCCCGCGGTCCACCGCCGCCCCGGGGCCTTCCGCTCCAGGCCATCCCCATGACTGCACCGACCGTCGCGCCGCCGCTGCGTCGCCCCGTCGGGCCGTAGCGAGCGTGGGCGCGGTCCACACTGCCGTCCCGAGGCCGTCCCCGTGGTTGCACCGACCCACGCTCCGCCGTTGCGCCGCCCCTTCGGGCTGTCGCGCCGCGGCCCGTGGTCCCTGCCGCCGCCCCGAGGTCTTCCTGACGTCGCCCGGACCTACCCGCCGTCGCTGCGTCGCCCCTACGGGCCGTAGCACCGCGGCCCGCGGTCCACTCCGCCGTCACCGCACGTCGACCTCCCGTGGTATGCGCTGCACCGTCTCCATTGGCGCGGGAACGCCACCGTCCACGCCGGTATTCTTCACGCTGTCGGGTTCTTCGCCTACTTCGAGCACCGTCGCCGCGCTCCTAACCTAGCTGTCGCCGCCGTCAGGCCGCCGCCGCCGCTCTTCTTTGGCCGCCGCCGCCGCTACCCCCGTAGCCGCCGCAGCCGCCCGCCCACCTCCTTCGTCTTCGTCCAGCACCAGCCCGTCGCCAGTGTCGCCGTCATCTACCTCGATCGCTTCATCTACTCCGACAACCGCGGGCGACATTGGTCCCGTGCCGATTGGCGCCGCAACAATCGTCGAGTCCTTCTTTGCTGGCCTCTCTGACTTCTTCGACATGGCGTACATCTCGTGCAGGTCCCAGTCTACGCATGCCCGGTGCTGGCAACACCGCCGCGTGCCTTCGTCCACGACGTGTCCCCGGGCCCGACAAGCCTGGTGCGGCGCTTTGTCAACTTTGTCTTCGTCCGTCTACGCATGCCCGGTGCTGGCAACACCGACGAGTGCCTTCATCTACGACGTGTCCCCGGGGTTGGCAACCCCGGCGCGACGCGTCATCAACATCATCTACTTCCTGGTGCACCACTACTTCGACACCACTGCGCCCACGACTAACTCGGCGCCTCCTTGCGCCCGCGGCTCCATGGCGACTTCCTCGACACCGGCTACCTCGACTCGACATCGACCACGGCATTCTTCGCACGGCTACCTCGACCACGGCTCCACCACCCACGTTCTCGGCTACATCGACAAACGGCACAAAGGGCTACCGCCTGCTTGAGCAACCTCGTCAGTTTTCACTCCAGCCACAACTCCGCGATGCATGGACCGTTCCGACTGTGGGGGGATGTCCGTCGGCTTGCCTTCGGATTCTTCTCCAGTCTCATCGTCTGCGTCGCTCCCGTTGTGACCGCGGAGGGATGTTGAGTATATTGATTATTAGGAAAGACTAGATAGACTAGGATTAGTTCTGACTTGTCTTATACTCTAAGTTGATCATTGTACTCCTATATATATGCACACGAGGCTCAAGCAATACATCAACTATTACATCAACCTCTCTCTCCCTTCTAACATCGTGGGATGGCGCGAGATCATGGCGGACATGGCGACATTGAGGCAAAGTGGGAGTGGCGTGGTCAGTAGCTCAATCGTGGCCAATTTTTCTGTGTCTGTTTACCTCTGTTTGAGCAACCAACGAGAGTGGTGAGAGAGAGAGAGAGAGAGGGATTAGCTAGCTGGTTTGCAACATCGATCTAGCTTGGTACGACGGGCATGTCTTGCTGCACGCAGAGGGAGTGCAGCTGCGGTTCCGGTGGGACGTGGTGACTGCGCGCTCACATGGCAGGCGAGAGCAGCATGGCCTGTGTGAGAGGCATGCACAACAATCGTCTGACGTTTTGTCTCAATGTAACATGCGTGTTGCATGTGTGTTTTTCTTTTCTTATCCCTTTACCTACAGCCTGGCCACCCGGAGTCCACGTCGGGCCAAAACCACTCAGAGTGGCTCGAGGGACGAAAAGTATCTGGTTTAAACACTCGAGAGGGACTAGACTTTCCTGGTTTCTGAGTTGAGGCACTATTTCTAAACCATCGATAAAGTTGAGTGACGAAAAATACACTTTTTCCTTTTTAGATAGGAGGGCAGGAGAGGAGATACGAGCGATTTGGTTATCCTTTTCTTTTCTTTTTAGGATTGATATGTGTTGGCCAGGAATTTTGTTTTGTTTTTAGGCACATTTGTAGATATACCAACTTACCCTGCAGCATTGCAAACTAGCTTTCCTAGTTATATATATGTTTTATTTCCATGCCATTGTTAGAAAGCTATTAACTGAATGTAAATATTTAACTTTTTTTGCATGGGTTTTCTTACCAGCATTTAATCAGTACAATTTTCAGGGTTTGAGATTAGCTAGCTTCATCACACATACCATCTTTGAATTAAAATAACCTGAATGACACTTGAGATAGAAATAGGTACCATAGTACTTTGTTGTTGGTATAGGGGAAGAGTACTTTTTAGCTAATTTCTTTTGGGGTAAAAGATCTTTTAGCTATTAGGACTATCAAATATGTATCACAATATCCCCCCCCCCGGCTCTCTCTCTCTCTCTCTCTCTCTCTCTCTCTCTCTCTCCGTGTCTTATGAATGCAGGAACGACAAACAAACAACAAGAACATGTGAAACATTCGAAGACAAGGACAAGCAGAGGAATTCCTCTAGGGAAATTAATATCAAGGTACTATGCATTACATAAATCCAAAGCATCGCAACGATTCTTCATAATTAACAAACTCATTATACTATTCATTTAATAGCGTGCTACACATTTTACACCATGTATGGCAACATCGGTCTATGCCACAACGAAGATAAATGCTTTTGTTGCATCCATGTTTGTTTACATGTATAGTATTACCTACGTCAATAATAACTACATGATTGCCACTTATGGTAGAGAAACGTTCCCATACTTCTATGTGTTTTCAGCATCATGTGGTGCATTTGTGTGAACCCTATTGATACAATCCGCACATGTGCCTACCAAAACAAAACCCCCTCCATGATGAATGTGTTGGTCTCTTGACCTTACTACATCACCAACTCTTTACCCATATATGAAATCAGCCATAATCTCTTTTCATATGTGATGTTACCTTGAAACATCAAAAAATGTACTGCAGCAATGCACGGGGCATTATCAATTTTACATAAATTTTGTTGGGTTCTTGAAGATGGATGCAAACTGGAGACAACCCAAAAACCGTTGGCCAAGTCGCATACAGATAGGCGCACATCTTCACGTTCACGTGCATGAGCATACGTACCTGCAACAGGTCGTGGCAAGTGTGACCCCTCCTAGTCCCAACACGCACACACCATTCTGGTCGCCGTTCCT